GAACAGCATGAGCAGCATGATCGATCTCGCGGTCCAAAGCACAACTGGAGTCAAGGCCGGATTCTCTGAGACTCTCGAGTCGCAGGTAGTCAAGATCTTGCATACGACCGCGGAAGCTCTCAAGGAAGTGTCACTCGCCGGACGCCACAAGGATGGCAAAGATGCCGATCTGTCCGAGGACGCTTGGCTGGAAGCACACCCCGATAAGCGCGCTGTGGTTGTCATCGACAACTTCCTGCACAAGAACGAATCCAGCATTGTATACGACAAGGTCGCTGAATGGGCTGCCATGATGGTTCAGAACAACGTCGCCCATGTTATCTTCTTGACGGACGATACGGCATACTCCAAGTCTCTGTCCAAAGCTATGCCAGACCGAGTTTTCCGCCACGCTGCTCTGGGTGATCTCTCTCCTGACGTCGCCAAGAAGTTCGTCATCAGCCGCCTGGAAGAGGACGAGCTCGAGAAGGTGCGGGAGCACTCGACCGAGGCACAGCAAGAAAAAGAAGGTAAAGTCCCAGTACAGCCAGAGGTGAAGCCTGATCTTTCCGAGCTCGATGCTGCCATCGGTATCCTGGGCGGCCGACTCACCGATCTTGAGAACCTGGCTCGACGTCTTAAGGGCCGGCAAAGCCCCCAAAAGGCCGTCGAGGATATCATCAACCAGAGTGCAACCGAGATTGTCAAGATGTACCTCTTGGGCGGCAAGGACTCTGTCGAGGGCAAGAAGTGGTCTACCGAGCAGGCGTGGTATCTCATCAAGGCTCTCGCCTCGCATGATGCTCTTCGCTACAACGAGGTTCTTCTATCGGACACGTTCGGTTCGTCGACCACGCCCGGTGCTGCTAATGGAGAATCCGCACTCGAGGGCCTTACCAACGCCGATCTCATCACTGTTGAGACCTACAACGGCCGCCCGCAGACTATCCGCCCTGGCAAGCCCATGTACCAGGCTGCCTTCAGCATGCTTCTCGAGGACCGCGTCCTCCGGGCCAAGATGGACCTTGCTCTCTTGAAGGAGCTGGCCAAGGTTGAGGCCAAGACTATTGAGAAGGCCGAGGGCGAGCTGGCCCTATTGGGTAGCCTGCCGAAGCAGCCTTCTCAGACGGGCTCACGCGTATCCTACCTCCTCGACAAGATTGAGGGTAGCCAGGCCAAGATTACCCAATTCGAAAAGGAGATTGCGGGCTTGAAGAAGGTGCTCAAGCACAACTACTAAACAACCTTACATCTGGCGGAGATACATAAGCAACTGAATTGACCCGACGGGCTGGGATTATAACAGAACCGGCGGTTGATACCCTCCTCAATTTCATATCATAGTTTTGTAGAATTATGAATGGATTCTACTCATGAAGTGTGTTCATTTCCGATGCTGTTATTTTAAGTGTCGACTTCGTCACTGTCGTCCTCGTCTCCGAGGTAGTTTTGCTAATGTGGGCGGCTCGATCGTCTTTGTAGAACGGACACCAGTGATTTGAGCTTCGACGATGTGCAGCCCGTCTTTCGATTTCTTGGTCAAGTAGATGCCGAAGGCAGGCGATGTTTCAAATCTCTTGTAAATCTGATCATAGTCGCGGTTCTTGGTATTCATGTTCACATCGACGAAGGCCCAATATCTATGCCCAGTTCAGAGCCATGTCTCAGGACAATGAATAATCCTCAACCATTGACTTAAACTTCCTAGACAAGCTCCAGTGGTTACTCTTTGAGATTCTGGCGCTAGATCCGACGTACACAGCTTTTCAAAGCTATTACCTACAGTCCAGGGGCGTCGTAGGCCTGGGTCACTGGACTTCGGGCGTAATGCTCAGATAAGAAGGAAGCAGCCTGGCAATTCCTTCCTGAAGGGGGCCGGGCAATATCTTGCCCTGTGGCTCCCACAAAAGATTTTCTTCGGAGAGGAGGGACTCGGAGGTTTTCTAAGAATAACAACACTGTGAATCTTTCAAAATGCCGGGAATCAGTTCTGGTGACCACTTTGGCGGTCCCATGTTTGTGATCCCACCACCCCTTACAGACGACGAAATCCGCGCCCTCAGTCAGCATCTTATCCCTGTCGTGTGTTCCTTCGCTAACCATGCATAGTCGCCCAGGCCGCCGCCCACAACGCCGCCAAGAAGCTCGCTGAGAAGCCCGCCAAGATGAAGACCAAGAAGCGCGCCCACAACGCCTAGGTTTCGCCGGTTCCCTTCAGGACAGAGCTTTCATGTGCGTTTGATCACCATCAGCCTGACTGTTCCTCATATTCACCATGCGGTCTTCTTCGCCGTCCTCTTCCATGCCCCTTGAAAGTCTTACATGTCCATCTTGCTCGCAGCCTACATGCATCTCATAATGCCAATGCAGTATAGACCGGGAACTAACGAGTCTGGACATTTAGCAACAAAAGAAGGAGATGCCCGGGGCCGACGTAAGTCATTCACGCAGGTTGTTGGGAAAGAAATATGGTGCTAATGTATGTATAGCAACCCTGACATTGCCGAGGAGGACCCATCGTCGAAGAATCACATGAACACCCAGGTATGTTTCTTCCAACAATGTCCGCGAGTGGTCCGCTAAGTCTTTCTTGTCTTCAGTGAACTTTACTTCATCAATCGACCTCGCAAAGTCATGGATGGCTTTCATCACTAAATAGTGAATGAGATAGTAAATGAGAATGGTGTTCAGGGCAAAGCACGGCTCAACAGGCAGCCTACTCTTCCGAAGCTCAACATGACTTTTCTAAGGCAAGACAGGAACAGTGTTGGTAAATGGGACTATCTTCGTGAATGGCGTGCCACTTGGAAAATCTCGATACCCAGATTTCACGTGTGTTCGGCACGATCCGGCGCAAGTCGTTGTCAGTGATTCCGCACCAGGTCCGCCGACAGCGGAGCCCCCGCGAGGGGACGAGTAGTTGGAGAAATTGAAACTGCGACGAACTGCAAGTGTCCCCCGCGGGGAGGTTGAGGGTCCAGTGGGGAGGCAAGGAAAACACTTCATTGGCTAGCTGCACTTCATTTCTACTTCCCTGGACCCAAGATGACGCGACTCAGGACTCGATATCGACCGTCGACCGGGAAGTTGGCCGAGGACCAAGAAAGCCTGAGACGACACTGGTCATGGGACCGGCCAGGGCTTGTAGCAAGCACAAAAGTCCAGGCAGCAGCCAATGGAAGAAGCCATCGAGGAAAGTGTCGGTTTGATGCCCCGAGAACTACAAGCTTTGCGGCGAAGAGACAAGCCTTTTAGCGGCTTGGCAGTCTCTCGGCATTTCTAGGCACTTTGCAGGCTCCTTCAATGGAACGTCTTGGCCATCTGCCGAACTCATCCTTGCGACAGCTTCTATGACGGATCACTGCGGTGAGTATCTCAAGGAGACGGCTTACGACGCACGAGAAACTTGGAGCTATGTCTGAAATCAGCGAGTGGCTATTGCCATCCATCTCCAATCCATTGAGCCGAAGCCCGACAACGGATATAATATCGCATAATCTCTACTGCGTACCTAGAATTTTCGCCCAGGTCGGCTTGCAGGTGGAGACCAGAAGAACCATGGATCTTCGTAAAGACCAATGGAAATGGTATTGTCAAAAACCAGTGACGTCGTCATGCGGGCGTTAAATGAGGAGAGGAAGGTTAACCCCGGTCGTGCAAAGTCGGTTTGCATTTGGATCCTCGTCCACGGCCATTCTCCGCTTCCAACTGCCAGGAATGCTAGAAAATCAGCTTTCCATCAAAATTGGGATGCGACGAGAGGCTACCACAGCCGGGATAAAACATCGTCAGTCTGGGCTGGATCTAGGAGATCTCTTGTCTATCTTGGCTTCGATATTTCCCCGAGGCAATCTAGCTGAGAGTAGTCAAATGTTCCGCAGAATGAATAATCCACACCCCAGAAACGCCTCTGTCAATTGACCACAGTCGTAAACCTTTTCTGCGAATATTGTACGATTGGTACCGGTTCATCCTAGAACCGCCATTCCCCTAACCGCATACGCTTGCCAGGGCAATAACAGCCGCCGCGACACCGCGTCAGCTCGCTGAGTTCACCGGGGGACATTGTATTTCTGACGGTACTTGTCTTATTGGCTCCCCGTTTTGATTAGTGTCCCGAGTTTGGCCAGGGATTCCTGCAATGCACGACACGGACGTGGTCTAACGTCTGTCTGTGAGTGGGTAAGGTGCTGGAGCGTGCTCGTCCTGGGGAAGTCTGGGGAAACGGTTAAGCGGAAGAAGACGAGACCAACACCTGCATAACCGTCAGAACCATTCGGACGGCTATCCTTATCAATGCCTTGAGCTAATTCATGAGGAAGGAATTTGCTTTGAATATGTGCTGCATTATCTACAGCTGATATCACTGTATGCTCATCTTCTTTGGGAGGAACGATAACGAAGACATGGGCGCCGGGTTGCAGGCGAGGTCTTATGAACGATCGATGTCTTTGGGATTTATCCAACTTACGCACCTCGGTGGAGCATTGTTACATTGTATCAATGACACCAACATCGTATGAGGCCGACAGTAGCTAGACCCGTGTATTCGCTCTCGCAAGTAGTCTAGCTGTGGAAAACAACTGTACCGACAGGCTCTGGTGAAAGCAGTTCTCCGCACTTGAGCGGTCTAAGCAGTCTACCATCCGAAGGAAGAGACCAGCTCCCTGTCGCCAACCCCAGCGGACCCATCTGGGAATGTTTGGTGTTCCCCATGGAGCCCCAATGGGCTGCCAATGGATTTGCGGGGGAAGGTGGTTGCGCCGGTCTCATACCCAGCGACGTGGGATGAATGTCTGTGCCATCTACATATAGTAATGAGTGCCCATCCCATTTCCATCTCGTATTGAATTTGAGTGGTTGCACAGTCATCTACATCTCGAGCGCGACTGCTTTGGCGAGTGTTACGTTCACTTGGTCAAGCAAGAGATCGGAATAATCATTCCATAGGCACTGGCGGCTGCCACTTACACCGATCCTCGAGATACTGAGTAGTTGGAAATACTCATCTCGTCGCAATAATGGCGGATGAGAAACGCGCTGGCGGGGCCGACCCGTAAGAGAATCTCATCCTTCACAGAGTTCATTGACTAATAAGACTAGATCGGCCGGCGTCGAGGTGTCGAACATTGAAAAGGCCCGCCGAGGGTCCCAAGCAACCGTAGACCTGAACGACAACAAAGAGGCCAAGTCCGTACCCTTGAAGAAACCCTTCTCAGATTTATACTGACCTACGTGAAGGATCAAGAACCCTCTGCTTGGAATAAACCGCATCGAGCTCCTTCGCGATGTTGAACACTTTGCCCGTGACAAGGGTCTCGACGAGTATCTCCCCATGCTTAAGAAGGGCGCTTTGGTCGCCCAAGACCCCACCGGCTACGAAGAGATAGACGGCGCCGAGGCTCTCGAACCGGATGAGATCCAAGTGTTGCGCGACGAGGTTCTGCACAAGTGGCGCATTCCCAAGATTCTCTACCTCACCATCATCACCTGCTCCATCGGCGCCGCTGTACAGGGTTGGGATCAGACAGGAAGCAACGGCGCCAACTTATCGTTTCCAACGGTTTTTGGCATTGGATCGAATTCGCATCATGATACTCTTCTTGTAAGAAACAATGCTACAATGAATTACAGGCGAAGGACTGACATGGATTTTAGGTTGGTCTAGTCAACTCAGCGCCATACATCGGTAAGACTCAAGGACGACGTTGAAGGTAAACGATCTTAAATTGACACTTCCAGGATCGGCGTTCATCGGCTGCTGGCTCTCCGATCCATTGAACAACTGGGTCGGTCGTCGCGGAACAATCTTCTTCGCTGCCAACTTTTGCATTTGGGTATGTAGCTAACTCCCCATTTTCGCCACAACAAACTGACAATACAAGCCCGTTATTGGAGCTGCATTTTCTCAGACATGGGAACAGCTTTTGGCTTGTCGTCTTCTTCTCGGTATCGGTATGGGCGCAAAGGCCAGCACCGTCCCCATCTTCGCTGCGGAGAACTCGCCTGGTATGATATAAAACGGCCTCTAGACAACAAATCAAGGCTAATTTAATAGCACCTATTCGAGGAGCCCTCGTAATGAGCTGGCAGATGTGGACAGCCTTCGGGATCCTGGCTGGAACGGCGGCTAATTTAGCTGTTGGTAAAGTGGGAGATATAGCATGGCGACTGCAACTTGGCTCTGCCTTCATCCCGGCTGTCCCACTTGCTCTGCTCATATACGTATGCCCTGAGTCTCCCCGTTGGTATATCAAGAAGAATCAGTACGCAAACGCGATGAAATCGCTGCTTCGGTTGCGGAACCACCCGATCCAGGCGGCTCGGGACATATACTACATTCATATCCAACTTCAGGTCGAGGCAGAGATCATTGGACGATCCAACTATGCCAAGCGGTTTGTTGAGCTGTTCACAATCCCCCGTGTCAGACGGTGAGTTACGAAGCTCTTCTAAAGTTGAAGAATGAGAGAGAAACTGACATGGTTGATATAGAGCCACATTGGCTTCGTTCACCGTTATGATTGCCCAGCAGATGTGTGGTATGTAACACTCTTCGTCTAATAAAAACATGAAACTCATAAAGGAACAGGAATAAACATCATTGCCTTCTACTCGTCGACAATCTTCAAGGAGGCCGGCACATCCGAGTTCAACGCCCTCCTCGCCTCGTTCGGCTTCGGCATGGTCAACTTCCTCTTCGCCTGGCCCGCCATCTGGACCATCGACACCTTTGGCCGTCGCAGTCTTTTGCTAGGAACATTTCCCATGATGGCGTGGACGTTGCTAGCGGCTGGTCTCTGCACCCTCATCCCTGGCACCGGTGGTGTTCACCTGGGGCTTGTGGCTCTCTTCGTGTACCTCTTCGCCGGTAGGTTCACCAGCATCATCTTGAGAACCAAGGGCTAACATGATAACCAGCTTTCTACTCTCCTGGCGAGGGCCCGGTACCGTTCACTTACAGTAGCGAAATTTTCCCCTTGTCGCATCGTGAAGTCGGCATGGCGTGGGCCGTGGCAACATGCCTCTTCTGGGCCGCAGTGCTCTCGATTTCCTTCCCAATCATGCTGGCAGACCTCGGCGTCCTCGGCTCTTTCTGCTTTTATGCCGGGCTAAATGTGATCGCATTCGTCATGATTGTAAACATTATTCTCCTCTCTGAGCTAAGCAACCAACTAACATGCCACCAGTTCTTCTGGGTCCCCGAAACCAAGCAGAGAACACTCGAAGAGCTCGACTACGTCTTCGCGGTTCCGACAAAGCTCTTCATGCGGTACCAGGTCACCAAGGCCCTGCCGTACTGGTTCAAGCGCTGGGTCCTCTGGCAGCGCGACGCCACGCTTGAGCCGCTGTACAAGTTCGACCTCACGCACGAGGACCACCACGCCGCCGACGGCGACAAGGCGCAGGTCGAGATGCGGGACAAGAAGCACGACACCTCGTAAGTTTGGTTGTGTTTCGTAAACACGGAATATACATTGCGTACGTCACTTTGGAATCGTCATGTCATTGCAACCGGAAGAGCTTCCCGATCGGATGTACCGGGGGGAGGGATAGCGGGGAGATACCAATTGAGGCTGAGAGAGATGGATGTGGTAAAGAGCGTGTATAGTATGTACACGCCGCGTAGCTACGTAATCGTCGTCGAGTTTACCGTGCCATGTGGATCGCGACCGAAAAGTAGGGGTTCATTGATTGCTGGCAGTGCCGTGCCGTGTTGTCCCCCGGACCTCGCCCACAACCCGTTCGTTAATCAACGGAAACATCACAATCGTAGAGTATCTCCGATTACACCGCCGATGTACACCGCCGATGATGGATGCTACCTCACCTATGTTTCTTTCGCCCCTTCGTAAAGAATGACTTGCATTTCAGCTGCCCCTCTCATCTTCACGAATCGTGGGCCTCAACCATGTTTGAAAGAATGTGGTGTTCATCCCATGGGGACAGACAGAACCCAACCCGCCCGCCACCCAGGCAGGGCCCGCTTCACGATTCCTTCGCGCACATGTCTCTTGACGAATCTGCATCAGGGGTCGTGAAAAAGTCTCAGTGATCATCCGAGCCGGCGCGAGACGGCGGCTCTTAGGGGACGGGGCTTTCACCGCGCCGGGGCGGGGGCGTTGCGTCAATTGACGTACGTAGGTCCCGCGTTTTCCTCACGCCCCCCTTCCTTTCCTTCCGAAGCGCGGGATCGGTCGACGGCCGCCGTCGCGTGGGCACAAAGGGGGTTGGCTGAGAGCAACACCCAGAGAATTCCGCACTTGGACACGAGGATAACGGCAGCTAAGCTTCTAAGGGGGTGGATGGGCAGACACGCAGACAACAGAAGGAGGGAAGAAAGTTTTGGAGGGCGTTCCCGCGTTGCCGCGAACTGTGCCAAATCGAGATTCCTGCTCGCCTCGTGTTGAGTCTAGCGCCGAATCCCCCACCCAGCAATGCCAGTTTGAGGCGGTCGATTGTTAATGATATTCACTCTCGGGCTGCAGATCTGATCGGCAGAGCTCTCTTCACAGGTTCGGCTCCGGTAGCAGATTGTCGAGTATGTGAGACGTGGCACTCTGTTGCAGGGTTGGAGAATCCCATTATATGGGCACAATGACAAAATCAAGAGTCACAGCGGGAGGGGAAACGCTTTGCACGGGAGGAAGCAGCAGAAGAAGAGATGACAAGTTTGTGCGTTGTGCGGGATTGAGAAGTGAGAGTTCTCCCCCTCCTGTTTGTGGCTTAGTGCCTGAGACTGAGAACATTCTGATGCACCTGCAAATCTCTAGCGCTTGCTTTTTTCGTCAGGTACCCGCGGTGGTAAGGCGCGGTCTGAGATGTGTCTCTGATGATCAGTCGGGTCTGGCAACCGTTCTTGGTGAAGCTGAGGGAAGCAGTTGTGTCATTGGTCGCCACTGGCGCGAACCGTAATGAAGCCAACGTCGGGCTAGAGAGACGCCGCTGGAGGCGCCGGCTGCTGGGCTGCCGTGTGCCGCGGGAACGGGGGGAGGGCAGGAGGCTGGCACAAATGACGGCTTTGGGTTAGGACGGGTTCGTTGGCTTAGCTGTTAGGTCCCGAATCAGGGGCTCTGCTCTCTACGAGACTACGGATAGTACGAGAAGAAGAAAAAGGCGCCGAGGGAGGCGAGTGACAGGCCACCGGGTCCGAAAGACGCGGCGGCGACGACCGGCGCGTTCTTTTTTTGGAGACGCGAGTGGCCAATTGTTTGTTATTGTGAGAAAACCTTGTGAGCCGCAACGTCGGAAACAGAGGGGATATCGATTAATTGCTTAATTCGATGGATGCAGGATTGAGTGGCCTGTTGAAGGCTGAAGCAGGGTGGCAGGCAATTGAGGAAAGCAAGCAAGCAAGCAGGGGCCATGGAGCAGTCCAGACGGTCCAGACTTGAACGCGCGGTGCAGCCAGCTCCTGTGACAGTCTGTCTCTCTCCTGTCCTTGTAGGGCTCCGCTCGGCCGCAGGGGGCGGGGATGGGGCTTGGAGAAGGAAGAATTTGGGAGATTCTCGGGAGATGGAAGATGGCGAGATGGGCAGACGAGAAACGGCGGAGGGCAAGACTGGGACAGTGGGCGGGCGGGTGGCTTGATGCTAACGGCATATGAAGCGGCGGGCGGAAACGAAACAGAGACGACGGCTTGTGGGCAGGTTTGGAATTGTGTCGTGTGTGGTCACTGGTGAAGGGTGAAGCGTCAAGAAGAAGGTTGGCCCGGCATAGGGCCAAATTTGGGAAGACGGGGTCGGCATTATTGTCGAAGACGGGCTGGACCGGCGACGGCATGCCAGGAAGCAGGCGGAGGACGTTAGGACTCCAGGAAGAGAGGGCTGGAGGGCCCGGAGGAGACGTGAAGGCGTGGAAGGGTACCGTGGACAGTGGATGAGCGACCGTGCCAAGAAATGTGGACAAGTCGTCTCCAGATGGGGAGAGGAAATCGGTTCCAAGAGGTCGGAAGGGCTGGATGTGGGCGACATCATCATGCGCTAGATGGATGATGCCTCCAGATGCTGTCAACGACAAACATGCCACTGCAAGGTCGCGACATATGCCCACCGCCCACTGCCACGACTGCCATGACTGCCGAAGGCGGACGTGAACAATCTTGGAAGCAAAAAAAACTCTAGCCTCAAGGGCGCTCTCCCCATTCCTCCAAGGCTCGTATTCCACCTGGCTACCTAGCAGAAGTGGAGCGGGAATATTTTCTGGTGAGAGTTGGCAACTTGGACTCGGGGCTGGTACGTGCTTGGTGCGATTTATTCCTGGATCGAGGAAAAGAGTTGGCCAGATCTGAGTGAAAATGATACGAAGGGCACGCTCACTGCCCTGTGTTGGGAATGATCCACGCAAGGAAAAAGGGAAAGGTTAAGCTTCTAACACTCCGCTGCGGTGGGAACACGGTGGAGGTGATAGTCGTCTATTGGAAGGCGGCGCGAAGCGACTCGTCATCACTCGCAGAGGATACCGCCATTGGAGGCCACTGAATACCACTGGATACCTACCACTGGATACCAGTGAATGCCACTGGGATACCTTACTGCGGTAGCGGGCCAAACCAGGGCAAATGCACCAACTTGCGTTCCCTGAGGGCTGAGTGGTCAGCGGATTGCAGAGGACTGGGGGCCCCGTACGCGCTACGACTCAAAGTAGGAACGATGCGGCTGTACGAGCAAGGGGCTACCGAGGGACAGAGTCAAGGAAGGCAAGGAACGCGCAGAGAAGCTGGGAACCTGGAGGCCGAGGGTCCCTCTCCATTCAATTGCAACTGGAGTCTGGAAGGGTTCCGGCTCTCAGCTCACTCCAAAACTGGACATGGGGCCTTCAGACTGCCGGCAGCAGACGTCTGGTCCCTGGAACATATGTGGTGATATTAAGGAACAAGAAACGACTGATGGATGCGTGCATGGAAGCATGGGTTACACGCTCTCTACGCTGCCGACTCATTAAACAAGACTATGCTAAAAGCCCGTCCTGTTTCGCGTCCACATGCCAGAGTTGCAATCTTCATCTTGTGCCTAGGAATCACACAGTAAAAGACTCCAGACTGATAAATGAGGGCGGCATCTAATCGCCGAAAAAGTGTAACATCGTCCCCGTTCCGGTCTCCAGAGGGAAAGCCAAGCTTCTTCTGAGGACTGCGTTCATGCAGCGTCTGATGTGCGGGAGCTCTGTCAGGTAATGGAGGCGGACGGTAGAGAAAGCCGCGGCAGCTAATTCCTGCGTAACTGGCTGTCAGGGGGTGTGTGTGTGTGTGTGTGTGCTCCAACTTTGCTATCAGAGTTGCCAAAGTTCGGATTGTTGGGTGGTGTCAAGTGGCGGCCTATGCCGTAACACCACCACCACCACCAACCTTGAGCAGCATGCAATCGAAAGGTATGCAACCGCAACGCGTCTTCCCACCTTGTCGGGCAGGCGGCACTGCACGGTTCTCGAATGATCAAATGTCAACAATCTCGAGGGGGCTACCAATGGCATCCCATTCCTGGCCTTGGTCCTTGATAATTACCTTACCTACTTCATGTGCCGTGAGCAGGCGAATGGCAGGCAGAGCAAGACCAAGAGTTGGATCGGGGAGCACGGCATCTCGAGGCCCACCTGAAGAAAAAGGTACGTTCGCTGAGCTGAGGTACGTACCCCAGAGAGCCCCACAGACCGTCCACCCAGAATCGGGGACGCCAGTATCGGCACCGGCCAATCCCAGCATTCGTCCCGGGGCTTCTGAAACTCGTCTGTCAGTGGCTTGCCCCCTGCATCAAAGCTGCCAACCCGCCTTGCAGGCCTTGCAGCACTGAGCCTGCCATTTCTGGTCAATTTTCTGCTCCCACGCTGGGTCCCTGGCAGTCGTCGTTGTCGCTAAAATTCCCAGTCCCGCAGACACAGGTACGTACCTACCGTGTGTGAGTGTATCCGTACCGCCCAGGTCTCCTCCTCGTCCTCGTAGAACCAGGACCTGGAAGACTGCCTGCAGAGTGGAAGGAGGGAATGGAAAGAAAAAAAAAGTTCAGGGGTCTGCCAAGCTGCACACGCTCCAAGCCTCCGTCCCTCCACTAACGCGCTCTAGCGGCGGCGGCCCCTTTCGTCCTGTCTTGCGCTGAGATCGTCAACCAACCTTACCGTCATTCTTTTCCTCTCGCTCGCCTTCGCTTAAACCCTGAAATGCTTCCCCTCCTCACGTTCTTTTGAGCCCGACCTCTCCTTGCTCCGACCTCTTTTCTCTCTCCTCTCGATCTACTCTACCTCTCCTCACCAATCCTCCCTCCCCTCCATACGATACCCTTTTCCTTGTAATTACTTTCGCTTTGGGGAATTGGGCTTGTCGTTACCGTATACGAAAGGGCTACACTGACGCCTGTCTCCCCTACCTTACCTGAACACGCGCCGACCTCGTGCGTGTAGAACCAAACTCGATCGTTTGTCTGGTTCAAACGGCCTTTTCCACTTTCCCGAGTCCTACGAAGTCCCAATTGTTTTACTATCAACCAGACGGATTCGATATCCAGTCACCATATGCGTTAATACACAGCATCTGTACAACCCAGTGGTCCTTCGACATCCACCGATTCACGTTATACACTGAGCATTCCTACTGCTCCCTCGGTCCGGACATCACCTATTTCATCCACCTTCTCCCAAGGTCGGCATGCCAGGACCCCTCTCTCCCCGGCATTCTGGGTTTCTACCTATCGGCGGCACACAATCCAACGACATGCCTGAAACCGAGATTCCCTTGACTAATGTCAAGAGCGCCACCTCTACGGGTGCGCGCAAGCCCACCATGAACGCCAACAGCAACGAAGACGCTGGTTCACCAAACGAGAAGCATGGCCTTTTCCACCGCAACAACAAGGGCGGTCGCCGCAAGAAGAAGGCCGAACTGGGCCGCCACGGAACCGGCGACTCTGCGGATGTCAAGGTCAATGCCATGGGCAGACTGTACAACAAGATCACCAACGCCTCTGTCGTCTCGCGCTACCTGATCTACATCATCCCAATCTGCCTTCTTCTCGCCGTCCCTCTGATTGTTCTCCCCCTTACCGGTCATGGCAGCGACCTCAAACAGGGTGGAGAGAACGGTCCCGCTCTGTTTAAGGTCTTTCTCTGGATTGAAATCGCCTGGCTGACACTTTGGGCCGGCAAGGTTGTCGCCTGGATTCTCCCCCATGCCTTCATGTTTCTCTGCGGTGTTGTCAGCTCTGGTGTGCGCAAGTATGCCACCGTCCTCTCCAACTTGCAGATCGCTCTCGCCCTATTCTTCTGGGCTCTTGCTTCTTGGGTTTCTTTCCAGAAGCTTTTCGACGCCACTGGCGATAACGCTGTTTCATGGGTTGTGACCATGTACCGTATTCTCGGTGCTACCATGGTCTCATCAGCGGTTTACCTGGGCGAGAAGGCCATTGTTCAGCTCATCGGTATCTCATACCACCAGCGATCTTTCGCACTCCGCATCAAGGAGTCCAAGCGTGAAGTCCGCCTGCTCGGTCTCCTCTACGACGCCTCGCGAACACTTTTCCCTATGTACTGCCCCGAATTCGAGGAGGAGGATTACATTATCAACGATAGTCTCGACTTGATCTTGGCCAAGGCCGCGAAGGGTGTCAAGGGCGCCGGTTCTGCTACGCCTTTGCGACTTGTCGGTGACATTGGTCGCATGGGTGACAAGATTACGGGTGTCTTTGGAAACATTGCTTCTGAAATCACCGGCAAGCAGGTTTTCAACCCCAACTCGGCTCACTCCATCGTTATCGAGGCTCTCGAGAAGACTAAGCCCTCTGAGGCTCTCGCCCGCCGTATCTGGATGTCTTTCGTCGTCGAAGGAAAGGACTCGCTGTACCCCGAAGATTTCCAGGAAGTGCTGGGACCTGCCTACTCCGAAGAGGCCGAGGAGTCTTTCGAGATGATTGACAACGACCAGAATGGCGATATCAGCTTGGAAGAGATGACGCGCAAGGTCGTCGAGATCGGCAAGGAACGCAAGGCTATTACCGAGGGAATGAAGGACATTGGTCAGGCACTCCGCGTGTTCGATAAGGTCCTCATGTTTGTTGTCCTCCTGATCGTCGTCTTCATCTTCCTTGCTTGGTTCCAGTCCAGCTTCTTGACTGTAAGTTTACCCTCGACACCGTGATTTCGGACACCACTAACATTTCTAGACCGTCGCTACTGCCGGAACCGCGCTTCTGTCTCTTTCTTTCGTCTTCGCTGTCACCACCCAGGAGTTCCTCGGTTCCTGCATCTTCCTCTTCGTCAAGCACCCCTACGACGTCGGTGACAGAGTTGATATTGTCGGCTCCGAGAAGCAGCAGCTCATCGTCGACAAGATCTCCCTTCTCTACACCGTCTTCACCCGCATCGATAAGATGCAGGTGGTGCAGGTGCCCAACATTCAGCTCAACAACCTCTGGATTGAGAACGTTTCTCGTTCCAAGGCCATGAAGGAGGTTATTGACCTCAACATTTCCTACGACACTACTTTCGAGGACCTCGAGCTTCTCCGCCTCGAGATGGAGAACTTCGTCCGTCACGCCGACAACTCCCGCGACTTCCAGCAAGACATTGCCATTGGTGTCTATGGAGTTGGTGACTTGGACAAGATGCAGCTCAAGATCGCCATCAAGCACAAGTCTAACTGGCACAACGACGCCGTTCGTGCTACTCGCCGCTCCAAGTTCATGTGTGCTCTCGCTCTCGCCCTCAAGAAGATTCCCATCTATGCTCCCGGTGGTGGCAGCGAAGCCCTCGGTGCTGCTGGCAACCCGTCGTACTCTGTCGCTGTTTCTGATGATTTTGCGGCGGCGGCTCGCGACAAGGCTGCCAAGGACAAGGAGGCTGCTCGCATGGTTCCCTCGGCGGCTGCGGATGGTAACGACGCCGTTGACTCGAAGGTGGAGAAGCAGGCCATGAACGAGTTCAACACGCGCGACATCTTGGCTGAGGACGAGTGGGGATACAGGGTGGGCGACGACGATACTCTGTCGGGATCTAAGGACCGTAAGTCGGAAGACCGCCGTCGTTCCAACGATATCGAGCGCGTCCGCAGCCAGCTGCTGCAGAGAGGCAGCACCAAGGGTGGCGGCGGCCGTCGCAAGCCCGGTGAAGCCATTCCCTCATCCCCCATGGGCGAGGGACCTAGCATGTACCTCACCAAGACCACCTCGCGCAACAACCGCGCCTACGACGAGGAGGCCGAGACTGGCGTGACCGGAACCTACAACTCCCAGTACTACGGCGCCCCGTCTCAGGGCTACTACGCCGGCCAATCTTTGTCCCCTACGTCAGCAACCGCCATGGAACCGCACCCCCTCCAGAGCGCTCCCCCATCAGGCCAGCGCCCCAGAGGACGAAGCGTCTCCAACAGTCAACAAGCTGCCCAGGGAACCTCCCAGCAGACCACGCAGAAGAAGCAGTAGTGGTAACGGGGATATAGAACCAAAAAAATGAAGTAAAATGGAGAAAATGGAAAAGATGATGGAGAAAATAATACCAAGCCGGCCAGATGCATCGACACTGGCGGCGCCCTTTTCTTAACGTGGGCATTGAGACTGGCTCCCCGTGCCTAATGAATTTCCTTAACTCACATGGGGGGAACAGATAGATTACGAATAGAGTATGATGACATGTCGTCCGCAGTTAAATACTATTCTTGAGAGATCACTTGAGACTTTTTCCATATTCATGGTGAAGTGAGATATGTATGAGGATAAGGAGCACTACACAAACCCATCAACAGCTCAGCAGACGTGCTCCGGCTCGCCAACAACCTCGGGAGCCCCCAGGTCCGTCTTCAACACGCGCCCAAACAACTCGAGCAACACCTCGAAGCACACCTTGGTGATGGCCGGGTCGTAGCGGCCCTTGCTCAGCTCGTCGCGGATGAAGGCGTGCTGGGCCCAGGCGAACTCGTAAAAGGAGGTGGTGACGCCGGCCTCGCGCAGCTTGGCGCGGATGAGGTCGCGGCCCTCGGCGGGGACGTGGGTGTCCTTGACGCCGAAGATCATGGCGACCTCGGCGTGCGCGAGGGTCGGCAGGAGGTCGAGGGTGTGCGTGCTGCCCTCCGGGGCGGTCGCGGAGGTGTTCTTGGCCGAGTGCGGGCCGAGGGTGCGGGAGTGGATGTCGGTTGCGAAGTAGGAGACGCAGGCGGTTATGCGAGGGTCGAGCTGGTGGTTGTGTTAGGGGCATGATGAAGGGAGGGGGAGTTGGGAGATTACGGAGGCGCGGACGGCGAGGTGGCCGCCGAGGCACATGCCCGTGCTGCCGATGAGGCCGGTGCAGGTGGGCAGGCCGAGGAGGACGTCGACTGTTCTGCGGGAGTCTTCATCGTAGGACTCGAGGGTCTGGAGAGTGAGATTCGGAGTGAGCCAAAGGAGGGAGGTCAATGATCAAAGATGGGAGTTCTCACCTTCTCGACCTTCCAGGCGTTGCCTGCGTCAGTGCCTGGCACGTCGTAGGCCAGGGGCTCAGGACCGGTGAATTCGTGGTACGACGACGGGGCCGCGACGATGTAGCCCTGTCCAGCGATCTGGCGAGCGAAGCGGGCGACGGGGCCGGTCACTTTTTGACTCAAATTAGCAAGTGGACATTCACTATCACCATGGATGGATGCTTGAGTGGAGAGAAGGAACACGATGCAAGCAAGATGTTCGGTTAGGATCCCGGTGTAGATCGGTGAAGATCGGTGAGTGGGGTTGACAGTGGTGTGGAGGGGTTGTGCGGGGTGCTTCTTCGACCCCGCCGGAGGGGATTGATGCGGACCTTGGTAAATCTCGGAAAAGAGGCAGACGCCGGGGAACTTGCTGGAATATTTTTCAATTGAGATGCTCTGAGGCAGCGTCAGAATGGTTTGTACTCACGCGTTGGGGTAACCGGGGATCGAGGGGTGGAAGAGGAAGATTCCTGTGAGTCGTTAGCATCCGTGGTTTCGTAGACGACATCGGAGAGGTGAAGGGGACCAACTCATGGACCCATCTTTGCCGTCCGCCTTGGTCGGCACATCAACGTGAGACTCCTTGATGAGCATTTTGAAATGATACTTCTAAATCTACGGGGGCAGAGGGCGACACGGAGAAGGTGGTGAACTGGAGGTTTGTTGTAGTTGAGCGGTTTCCATCTCATTGGTTGATGCGCTGGAGCTCTCTCTGTGGGGACTTAGTAAGCTATCCTGTGAGAGGCTTCTACCAACAACATTCACTTATAATCCTCGTCAGTGGTGATTTGGTCTCTTGAGGTGATTCTTTTGACAATTTGCAGCGTGAGAATCGTTTCAGATCATCTCCTCCACCTTGCTCTGGTATGTGATCGTCAAAATCTCAAAGTAGGCCTTATGAGAGGGCTACTGAGGACGAGGCCAGAGTTTGGGGACCAGCGACGAGGGGAGGGCGATGGGAGGCACTAGGGCAGAGATCAGAATCAAAAAGGCGAAAGTAGCTGCCTGCTCATACATGACTTCTCTGCTCAAAATATGGACACTAACTCCTAGTGTGCTGCGGCTACCTGCTCACATCGCACCAAACCATCTGTTTCCTTCTCTACTTCTACTTCCCCTTCCATGTCCTGCCATTGAACTGACTTCTTGCTGCGATTTCCACCTCTTCTAATAGCTGAGGGAGGACTAGGGCTTTCGCCAAAACTAGATGATCCTTCTACTGATGCTCTATCCTGAAGAGGACTAGGAGAGGAACTGGGTGGTGTAAACGGATGCATCGAACTGTCTATACCGATGGAAGAGAGAAATTCGTCGTACAGAGCTTTGGGGCTAAAAGACGGCTCGGCTGGGCGGCGGGGAATTTGCTCAGGTTGAGGCTGTTGGTTTCGCGGAGGCTGGGAATTAGACAAGGAACGCCGTGAGCTCGCGGAAGACTCTTCTGGACTGAGCGCCTCAAGCTTCTCCTCAAGAAGTCTGTTTCCCTTCTCGAGAGCTTCGTATCTCTCTTCGAGGGATTTGATGTGCTGTTCGAGAAACTCGTTCCTCCCTTGAAGATGTCTAGTATACTCCTCAAGAGACGAACTACTGTCTTCGAAAGACTCGTCATCGCTCTCTTCAGAAATCTTCTCCTGATCTTCAAGCTCCGCCCGACCTTCATCTTTCATCATGCGCAAGTACGAAAGGACCTTGGGGATAATCACCTCGCGTATCGCCTTCTTCCTCATCTCCCGAGGCTCCTGCGCCTCGATAACGTCCAGCGTATCGAATGTGGAGTACTTTGCGTACTTGTGCGGCCACTCCTGCCCTTGCAAGCCCGCTTCAACATCGCGCGCCTCTTCCAACGGACCAAACACGTCCTCGCTGAGCATCCATGCGTCAAACATCTCATTCAAGTCTTCACCAGGACGGTCCTCGGGAGCCGGAGGCCACCACCCTACGTAGTCCTCGAGTGCCACCACGCTACAACCCTGCTTGGGATGAAGAGGGTACGGGAGCTTCTCAAGACAGTGTGTTCTTCCGTAGAAATGTGAATCGACGGTCTTGCGCCAGACCTGGGTAGCGGTGTGATCGAGGAGAACCACACGAGGCTCGTCCAGGTCGGTGTTGTTGGTGCCGTCCCGCAGAGTCATGAAGACGTTCTCCGGGTTGGCTTCGTGGTGTTGGACGCCGTGGTGCATGCCGACAACGACGCCGTGAAGCATCTTCTTGATGACGAGCGCTCGAGTCGGTTCATCCATCCAGACATTGGTCCAGGTGTTGTCGACCCGTTGGAAGCCGGCCACCTTGCCAAAGTAGCCCTCGTCCTCCTCACTGCGATAACAGAGCTCATCGATGGAGTAGCCGTGAATGTACTCAAGGAGCAAGACACAGACGTATCTTTTCACCTGGAGACCCTCACCATCAAATCCGTCGTCAATCTCCATGACCCAAGTGCCGTAGAACTACGGCATGATATGCGGGTATCTAGTCTTGCCCAGGCTGCGATAGTACGTATAAGCGGCGTGCTCGCAGCAAACACGCCCGTCAGCCGCTTCTTCAATCTGTTTAACTCCCATGGAACCGCTCGAGGCGTATTCCGCATCGACCGCCTTGCCGACGAGGTTCCAGGTGATGGGCTGGCCAGATCCGACAGGGTGGTAGAGGGACTGCTGTTCGGTTGCCGGACGCTCATCCAACGGAGCCTTCACGATGCTGAGACCAAAGATCTGAGACTTTTGATTCGTGCCGATGCGAATGTGCTCCTCGATCCGCACCCTGGCTTTGGTGTAGGTGAAGTCCTTCGTGGGGTCGAACCCTCGAATGCTGCCGACGATCTCGTCTGCCGGAAGACGCCGGCGTCGGTACATTTCCGTGCCATGAGGCTCGGTGGGCTTGTATGGGAATAAGTTGAACCCCTTCCCAACCGCCTACTCATCGGTAGGCCTGATGAAATCCTCGTGGGGGTCCATGATGGCATTGTGGGCGGGAAAGAAGGCAGGACGACGGCAGAAGACTGAGGGTTTATGACGGAAATGACGGATATGAGTACCTGGATTCAGTTGGAGTTATAAGACCAAGCTCGTGGGACGATCGGGGATCGTGGTGTTTTCTGGCGGGCACCTTGTTGTCAAACTATCGTAAAGCCAGCGGAATCCACAGAATCAGCCCTCAAGAGGGGAAATAGCCAAATGATTGGAGCAAACCGTAATCTTGATGCAGGTATCATATAGTTACCTGCTACTTGAAAATTAGAAACAACAGATTCTGTCTTCTCGATTCAGGACGTCGCTGCAAGTTTTGTTGAACCCCGTGTAATAGTTTTGGCTCCAACACTGCAAGTCGATATTGCCCCGCGGATCCGAGAAAATTGTTTGGCCCCAATACAGGCACCGATGTCCAAATACTCAAGCCAAAACGGAGTCAAAGTGATCCAAGAACACGTCATATTCGGTGATATGCCTATTACTCCAGACTTCCAGCCGGTCCCATATCAAGATTTCCCCACGCCGGCTTGAATGCTTTTGGTCGTTCCAAATGCGAATCATTGCTCCCATGCCCTTTCGAATATTACACCTACAGCCCGCCAAACATTGATATGTGCTGTGTGCCGTTATTTCCATTTCCCGGGTGACCGCCCCGCCCTCACAACTTTTTAGTATGCTTCTCGTCCAGCTCCTTTGCATCCTTGAATGTTTTGCTGAGCGTCGACACCAGTCCGGACCTGAGATCCTGCAACTCCTTGTCTCGCCGTTCAGACACCGCCAGCAGATCGCGGTATTTCTGCTCCCATCCCGACTCCGGCTCGATGACACCGCCTATCGTCGCCTTCTCGGCCGGCTTATCTCTGTCCTTCTCCTCCTCGGTCTTCTTCCATCTGTTATACATGACCGTCTGCACCATGTTGTAGTTGCCGCGGATGCTCCCCATCCGGAACTCCCACGCGCAGCTGTACGTCGCGCGGTCTTCGTACTCCATCTCTCGCTTGACCTTCAGCTTGCTCGTCGTCATCAGCGCTCTACCGCCGGCTAATGCTGCAAGGTTGATCAGGAAGGCGTCTTGATTCGGTGCCGTCTGCCACATCCTCTCGACCGTCGTGTGCACTAGTGCAGACGCCTCCGCCATGCTGCACCCCTCGATTGGGTTGTTGTCCTGGTCCACCCATTCGCCGTTCGCCGTCTCCTCGGTGAAGTAGCCGAGCACGGCTTCGATGTTGGTGCGGTCTTCCATGTTCTCGAACATACCGACGGGGATGTCGTTCGACAGCGGCGGCGGCTCGTTGCCCTTCACGGCAGGCAGAACGTCTGGCGCGGTCTCTTGGGCTCGCAGGTCCACCGGCGGTTGTGTTAAGCCGTTGTCACCGCTGCCGGGAGGCAGATCGACAGCCGGCGCCGTCGTTTGAAGGGTCCCTGCGTCTGGTAGGTCGCCGTTGACCATTACCACAGGCGGGGGCGGTGTTGCCAGCCGGACTGCGCCGCCGGGCCGGTCGGGAACTTGTAACGAGATGCTGGGTTTCGCTGGCCGCGGCATCTGCGGTATGCGCGGTAGGTAGTAGTCTTGGGGCATATCTGGTGGTGTGTTTTGGGTTATTGAAGCAGCGGGCGTGATCGGCGTCTCGACGCTTTTGTTTTCTGGGCTAGGCTTTTTGTAAGCTGGTCCCTCTGCAGGAAATGCTACGAACGGCCCGTCGACGTTGGCCTTATTCATCGGCGGCCTGCCGCGGGTTTTGCCAGAAGCACCGGGACCACCACTTCGCCATGCAGAAGAGACGACTTTGGCGCCATGCCTCCGATGTGAGCCCTTTGGTTTTGACGGTGTGATTGCCGACCTAGGCTCCGCTTCACCCCAGAACGCATTGCGGTTTGTCGACGGCGTGATGGCAGACATTGGGCCCTGAGGATACGCCGAGAGTGGTGTCTGCGCCGCGTCAGGGGCTTGTGGCCAGCCGGATGCCGATGCTGTGTTTGCGCTCAGCTTTAGAGGATCTGAGCAGCCGAAGGTAGCCCTGCCATCGGGATGAGCAGACCACGAACCCAGGTTTTCTCTGTAGCCGTTGCCTATCGGCGGCGAGTCTATCCTGGCGCGCTGTGACGGAGACTTGGCCAGGTCGTCATCTTCCGGACGTTTCCTCCCGCGTCGAGGCTTGATGTGTGGTAATAGGGCTCGAAGAGCCATGTCGTCCTCAGCCATTACGCCATCCCGTCCTGCTTCACACACAGGAGTCGGGTCGTCAGGGATCTCAGTCCAGTACGGATGCGGATGATCCATCAAATACTCAAAAAAGGCATCCACATGCATGGAATGCATCCATCGCTGCGATGATCAGCTTCTCTCAGACCGTACAGACTCTTTCACACATACCTTGAGGCGGACAGCATACTGCTGGATCTTCTGCGAGCTTTGCCCCTTGTCCTGGTCGGGTGGCTCGACGCCCAACTTGAGCGCCAACTCGGCCCATGTCTTGATCTCCTTCGTCTCCAGCTGCCTGATGAGCTGGAATAGGGTAAAAGTGCTGAAGCTCTTGCCGCCGCTCTTTGGTGGCACCCGGAACGCCTCCCGTAGTGCGGCGGTGTCCGTCTCAGCCGGCACGGCGGGATTGCAATGCAGCACGAACTGCACGTAGGCTTCCTCGATGGTGGCAGCGGTCACGTTCCTGTCTGGGAGTGTCGAGCGTGCCGTCATGGATGATGAGGATGGCGGCGGAGGAGGAGCTGTGGTTGCGAGTGGCAAGTGGTGTTGATGGGCCATGGACGGCGACGGGGATTGCCCATGCAAGCGGGTTGGATGCTGATGTTGGTGCTGGTGTTGCTGTTGCGGGGATATCATGGCGCACGAGTCGGTGTTGGAGGGTCCGTGGAAATGGACATCATCATCAACATGGACGAGTCGTGGGATGAACGATTACCAGGCGCATTTGGCAGAGGATTGCGCGACGGACGAGACGAAGGGAGGGGGCCAGGCCAGGCCAGCCAAGTGGGCAAGCTAGCGACGCGACGTGACTGGGGATGTCGGAGGCATCACCGTTCAGAAGCGGGACCCCAATTTGTCTCTGTCTCTGTGGTTTCGCGGTTGATGGTGTTGAAGGCGCGCGGTAGTACTGTGGATGAAGAGATTCCAACAATTGCAGGAGGCGTAATCCCCGACAGGTAAAAGCCGACGGTCGATGTCAATTTCGTCCCTTCACTGGATCTCACTCGGATACCAAGCTCCGTGTCAATGGGGGTAGGCTTTCAAGATGAAAAAGCTTGGTTCAATTCAAACATCAATCGACTCGGCCGGGCAGTCTGAGCTTGCAGCAAGCAGCCAGCAGCGGCGGCAGCAGTGGCAGCAGCGGACGGGACAGAGGTCGGGGTTAATTTAGGGCCCTTGCGAGGAGGCACGCCGGGAGAAGGTCCGCACTACTAAAATTAGCCTTTGTTCACTGCTGCTGAAAGGGGGCAGAACCGGCCCCTGGGCTCCCTTTCATTCAGCCGTCGCCACTGATTGGGAGGCTTTTTGGGGGCGGGCTCCTCTTGGTTCGCTGCAAGCAGTGCGCCGGCTGAGCCCCACCACCCGTCAGAGACCACTCAGACGCTGAAGAAGATCAGAAAAGTGCCGATGCTTGGGCAGTGGAACACTGCAACACACGCAGTGGGCAGCACCCTCGGGTGGGAAAAGTGGGTGAGTCGGGTGGGAAAGCGGCTGCACCCTCAAGAGTGAAGGGTTGCAGCCAGTGACCACTATCGATAGCACTGTTTCTTTTACACGGTGGAATGTCATCATCGACCGGCTTCCCCAGATCGCATTTGCTTATGTAAAAGCCACCCTTCACGCTGCTTATTCCCGGCAGCCCCAGTTTCGGGGAATGCTTTGGGTTTGTACCGGCATTTATCGGTATCGCGATCTGATCTCGCCGTTTGGGATCGTGCACCGATAGCTGCCAGAGATTGAACTCTATCACCCCAAGAGGGCATCAAAGCTCCTCGTCTTGCACGAACCTAATTTGTCCGGTCAGATTCTCCGAAGAATGACGCAAAATGTTGGGTTGAACGACGCGCAACGATGCCCAAGTCCCAGCAGCTGCCAGCATCTAAGGTAGAGAGGTAGGTAGGGGACGGGGACGGACAGCAAGAAGCAATCCTTCCCGTCGCATTCGTAGGGCTTTGATGGACGTCAAATCTAAGTGTCAAGTCGACATTCATTGTGCATAGAAACCCGCACTTACATGACTTGCAGCTCTAAAGGACCCAGCCAATGCCACGTCTCCCGGCTCAATTCAAAATGGCTGCCGTAAGCCACCTTGACTAATCCGCTGGCCAAGAAGCCCATCCCCGCGTGCATCCTCCACTCTGCGCCTTTCGAGGCCCGGCTTGACTAATCCCCATCCTCTGCGCTGCTCCTTGCCCATCCAATCACCCCAAATGACGTGATTGCTCTCTCACAAGCAATGGCCATTGTGCGGTTCGAATGGCTTCATTTTCCGTCTTGCTTTGAAATACACCATTGATGTCTACAGGTATAAAGAAATAGTGAATCCCATGTATCCCGAAGACTTCGGAAACACCAGACACCATTGAAACATCATCATCCGCATCCCATTGTGAACACTTACACCCGACTTTTGCCACGGCACACCTCGGTATAAGTCTCAAACTCAAAACATCGTCAGCCTCATTTTCGACTTCACCAACGTCCCCTGGTTCTCAGACCAACTTATCCGACTTTGTATCTCATAACTCCTCCCAGCATAAACACAATGGCCATCGACACCATCCCCCGCGGTGATGTCAGCGCAACCCTAAACTTCTTCGCCCCTCCCGAAGACGGTTCCGCCCCCTACAACACCATCGTCCCCGAAGGCCTCCCGGGACGCAACTACTCAGACGACGTCCAGGAGGCCCTCCTGCACGACATCCGCGGCCGCGAGGCCGAATTCAACCTCGACCAGGACGCCTTCGCCGTCATCCGTAACCAGCCCCCGTCCGCCGAGAAGGAGTTCGTAGACGACGAGTCCATTAAGCAGAATTACTACCCGGAGCTCGAGAAGCTTCTTCTGGAGAACGTTCCGGGCTCCAACCGGGTCCTCTTCTTCGACCACACCATCCGCCGCGCAGATCCCAAGGCGAACAGGAACCCCGTCACCCGCGTGCACATCGACCAGACGCCCGTCTCCGTCATCCAGCGCGTGAAGAAGCACCTGCCTGAGGAGGCGGACAAGCTTCTGGCGGGCCGTTACCGGATCATCAACGTCTGGAGGCCGCTCAACAAGAACCCCGTCGAGTCGTTCCCCTTGGGTTTCGCTTCCTCGTCGACGCTGGACGATGCGGACATCGTCCCCATCGAGCATCGGTACTCCAACGGGTACACCGGCCAGACCGCGGGGATCAAGTTCAGCCCCAACCAGAAGTGGTACTACCTAAGCGGCATGACGGGAGACGAGCGGCTGCTTCTCGAGTGCTTCGACAGTGAGGGGCTTCGTGACGGGACCGGAGTTCAGGGGGGAAGACTGGCTCACACTGCTTTCATCGACCCTAGGACAAGACCTGACGCTGAAGGTCGTGAGAGCATCGAAGTTCGCGCGCTAGTGTTCGGGCCTTGAGTGGGAAAAGAGTAGAGACTAGATAATGACTTCACGATAACATGTTAATTAAGAGCATTAGGGTATCAATGCATGCGAGCTGTCCTAACATCAGATGGAGACGCGTCCCCTCGTAATCACAAGCTCTCGTGCCATATGCCACCCTGTGTCCTGGAGCCGTATGCTTCCACAACGTACAGTCCTTAATCGTAGGTCTCGAAAAATGAAAATGCATAGTCGCTCTATACGCGGAGTCTAACCGCGGGAAAGGGGACGTGTTGTCCACGTATCGCCCAGATGCTGGCCTTCCTGAAAACATCAATGTTCAAATACCGAATCCCAACCCTTTCCGAACTCCGAGACACCGTAAAATCATCAGCATGTTCATGACTGGTTCTTGCGGCCCTTTCCGCGGGAGCTGCCTTGCCGGCTCATAGCCGCACCACCAGCCGCGCTACTGTTGCGGCTCATTGGCACCGCAGCGACGGCTGTAAGAGATGACATGGGCGGGGGAGCTTCGTCTCTCACGCTGCTCTCGATCGGTTGGAGATCCTCTCTAAGGTTCGTCGGGTCCGGTCGGGGACCAGGCTTGAAGCCTGACCAAGGCGTCTTGGTGTAAGGAGCAATGGAAGCTTCAAGCAGCCTCCTGCTGCCATTGGGATGGTCGATGGAATCGCCGGGCTTATGGCTAGCATCGTACTTTTTGAACAGGTCCATGACCATGATGTCAGAGCTGATCTCATCCTGTGACAGCGACTGCGGGAGGTTGGCATCGGTGTTTCCCCTGACAGGCTTGAAGTAGTTGGTCATGGATGATGACGGCAGCTTCGCGGGCTCATGCGGATGCATGATTTCGAGGTACTTGGGCAACTCCAACCCATTAGCACCCTCAACGGCGTCAATCAGATTCTGATTGATGCCAGCCCTGGTACTTCTAGTCGCGTGAGAGCTGGTGCGTTCCATCATGGGCGCTGCAGGCCAAGCCTCGCTATCCTGGTCGCCATCCTCGCCGTGACCGGAATCGCTACCGGGAGACGAGCCACCGTTCGCGTAGGCCTTGTGCCTCAGAATGTGCTTATGGGCGGCAATCGCTGCCGCATTGTACGCCATCGTGAGCTCCTTCTCGGTGAAAAGCTTATCAATACTGTAGGCGGGACCGTTCTGCTTCGCCGCGACGCGAAGCTTCTCGTTCTGCCAGAGGGGCGTCGTGCTGTTAGGGTCGAGCGCCCGCCTGGAAGGGACAGGAGAGCCGTCGTCCTCGCCGGGGTTCCTTTTGCGCTTCTTGTTATCCGAATAGCCCGGAAACTCCTCGGCGTCCTTGCGCAACCTTGTTGCTCGCTTCCCATGTGTGCCGCCAGGACTGGCGGGGTTGGTAATGCTGAACTGATTGGGGTGGAGCAGCAAGGCGGACGAGTCGGAGATTTCCAGAGCTTCCTTCTCCTTATTAAGGCGGATTTTCCTCGAGAGCAGAGTGTTGACGAGACGATCGCGGAGCGTAGCAGAGAGGGCGCTGTGCTCGCGCTTTGCGGTTTCGACCTTGTAGAGGTATTCATTCTTGTATTGGTGGAGGCGGCGCTCGTGTTCGTGCTGTTGTTGCAATTGTCAGTTTAGCCGACCTTTGGAAAAGTTGGTCGCACTCACCATGTGCTGGAGTAAGTGAAAGTCTCGGTACTCAATGAGATCCTCGATACCCTGGACAAAGTCCTCGAATTTGGGGCCTGCCATCTGGAGGAGGGTCCGGCTGGAATCGGCCAGCGGCTCTTGTCCCTGGGTCTCGTCATGCTCCTGGCGCAGGCTGGCGATGACGCTGAGGACGTCTTCAGAGTATGGATCGATACGCTGAACCAAGTTGGTGTCAACCTGAACTTTCTGGAGCTGGTCACGGTATCCGACTTCACGATCACGGTTGAATTTCTCCTGGAGACTGTTGATCTTGTCGGCCAGAACCTGGCGCTTGCGGTCGCGCTTCGATTGAGCTGCGGGTGCGGGCGACGCTCGACCGGTTTTCTGGTGGCCCGAAGCGCCCCCAAGGTTGGGGGGAGCTGCGTCGTTGGTAGCCATGGTACTGATTAATCGAAGATCGTACGTGAATCGCTAGCTTCGAGTGTTATAGATCGGGTTGAGCGTGGAGGAAGATTGAGGTTTTGGTCAGCGGAACCGGGCGGGTGGTGTGAAGCCGGCCGTCGCAAGCCGTAGCTCGGGCGACGGGTGCGGCAGAGAGAAAAGAAGACAAAGATGTATATAGATTGACGTCGACGAGGTATGAACAAGAGATTATATCTCTCAATCACATCTCTCAGAAAAGGAGGAACCTAACCAAATGCCCATTCGTAAGGCAGATCGCTGCGGTGTTTGTGTGGGAAGCTGGGCCGGAGGAGAAAGGTGAGGGCACTGCGAAAGAAGTCCTATGCCAGGCGACCTTGTCAGCCTTCTCAGTTAGTGGCTGCAAGGGTGCTCTGTACCTGACCGCTGGCTGGACTGAGATTTTTCATTGGCTCCGTGGCCCGCCGACGACTTTCGCTTTGACCAGGCCCAGTGACAGAACCAAGAAGGGACGAAAAAACGGCAGCACTGTGCCACGTCGATTTCCAGCGCATTATCCCTGTGTATCGCGGCTTGCGCACCGTACGACAGGGTCCTGAACAGAAGACAGCGACAGACCAGATCCGAAATTCAGGACCGCATGGGGTACGCGATAATGAGCAACAAGCAGCAACACTGTATTAATCATATTTGGGACGTCTGAGATTTCCAGATACTCGATGCGTGATCTCATAATGACAGCCTACAGTCCGCTTCTAAGCTTCTGCAGCTGGCTCATCAAGCCATAGCCACCAAGATATGTCTTCGTTTCCGCGGGGTCGGCATGAACGCTCCCCTTGCGCGCTCTCCCCTCATTCCCGTTGCCTTGGTTCCGACTCGCTTGGTCCACCTCCTTCATCAGATCGCGGTGTCGGTCCTCGACCATCTTCGCCAGACTCTCAATGAACTTTGTCCGTCCCTTCTCCTCCGCCGTGCCCTTCCACACTTGGTTGAGGTCCTTAAGCTCCTCGATTCGCTGCGCCGCCTTCTCGATCCCCTGAACGGGGTCCTCTGATTTGTGCAGGAGTTGTGATATCTCGTCCCGCAGCTTCTGGAGCACCTGCTGGCCCTTGTCCTCCGTGCTGTGCTGATCGGAGCCGGGCTCTGGCGCTGACACGGAGAGGAAGGATGAGCTGACTGAGAGTTCCGAAGGCGGAAACACAAAGTCCATGGCATCGCCAAACGTCTTGATTACAGAGTCCAGGCGAGACCGCACGACAGTCAGGGTGCGCAGCTGCTTGATGTACGGTGGCTCCTCAACTGCGCCCTCATCCTCAGTCGATACCGTCGCTGCGGTGGCTTCTTCCGCCTTGGTCGCGCCGACTGAAGCCCTCCTTTCCTCCGCGTCCGTCGTCTTAGAAGGAGCGTCCTTCGTGGCCTCACTAAGACCACCGGGGACAAACTTTTTGATGTCGTCTTGTAACGTGTCGTTCATCGTCTCGGCAAGACTCAACGTCTCGCCTCGCAAGAGTTCGACCTCGTACGCAAGTCGACTGCCACTTCTCAAAATATCGTCAGTCAGCTGTGTGAGGTTTCCTGAGAGCCTGGTCGTGTGGACATTGAGCTGGGACAGCAGCGTCTGCGCCTCGTTGGAGAGATCGGCCAAAGGAACAGTCTGGCCTCCATTGCGTGAGGCATGGTGACCGCTGGGCTGTAACGGCGGCAGCGAAGCGTTGAGGTAGGCTGCAGGATCAAAAGAGGGATCCAAAAAGTCTTGCAAGAAGTCGTCGGCTACATGGCTCGATTTTGGCTCAATGGTCGACTTGGACTGCTGGCGTGTATGGATGGGGATGTTCTTGGTTGAGGCTGCGTTGCTGCTTTGGCGTCGGCGTAATGCCGACTTGGAATCCCACGACATTATGGACGGAGTATGAGTATCACACCTTAGTCCGATATGGTCGATACGATGCCATGTGAGGACGTTGTCGCGAATTCCAAATGAGGACACTTGACATCAGCGATGAAGCCGTGCCTGAATTGGTGAGTGAGAGGTTGGTGGTTGGGAGCAGGACACCTGGCCCCACTCGCATCCCGCTGCCGGTCTCCCTTTAGCGAACACCGCACTGTGGGCGTGACAGGGGGGCAGCAGTGCCTGGAAGGCATTTCCAACGACTTACATCATGAGGTGGAATTGGCTTTTCGATCAACTATCCGGCACCACATCCGCCTGGTAACATATTTGATGTTCATTTTAAGATTATTTAGATGGAAGGTCAGCCTAGACTTGACCATTATCGGGTATCTTTCGGCCAAAGCAGCTCCCTTTTGTACAGACATCGAACCATGGTCACAAACACGACGACCCATACAACAATCAATCCTGCAGCCATGACACACGCAAAAATCTGAAGCCCAGAGTTCTGGAATACTTTTCCAAGGGCCGCAGTGGCAGTGACGAGCGCAGTGTTGGGAAACACAAACGACCACCACGTCATCTGGAAGGGCATCTTGTTTGCTGGCCGCACATACTTCCACAACGACCCGACGGAGACGACAAAGAACCACACGGAGAGACCCCAGAGCCACAATCCAATCATGACAGAGAGCACCTTGATAATTGGCACGGCTAGGTCGGTGCCTAGGAATCCTTGGGGCAAAATCTTATCGGCTTGGTTCCCCAGCAGAACTGTGGAGGTCAGTAAACGATGACGAAGATACAGATGGCCAATCTTACCTATCCCACCAACCGTGAACGCAAATGGTCCGATAGATATGAACTAGTATATGATGAGTACTTTCTTCATAAGCAGATGGCAGTATAACGTACCACACCAGGCCGCTGAAAGTCGCGCGGCAGCTTCTGTGTCATTAATCGATAGATAAAGGCGGCTGAGATCATGAAGGCGATCAAGCATCCTGCACCTTGTGTAGCCACAGCAGAGAGCGCAATCGCCGTCCTATTCAAGACGACCTGTGTCTGATTTGTCTGGGATGCGGCCGTGATGAGGTTCGAGGCGAAGGGCGCAGTGAGAAGTAGAGGGTAGGCTGGGAATACCCAGGTTGGCGTCATAGTGTGGATAGGGAAGACTCTTCAGGACCATTAGTAGGTTACGAGATTTCTCAGCTTAGTGAACTCTTACAATGTGGACCAGAGGACCAAGTATATACTGGCGCTAGCCAACATGCTCATCGCGGTATATGACCAGAACAGTATTTGCATAATCCTCAGGAGCCATGGCCCAACATACGGAACACCAAACTGGCAGATATTGATGCATATGATGGCAAACCTGTCGCGTTCAGTGTTTGTCCTGATGGGCAGGCGCTAGATAGTACTTACGAAACAACCTAGAGTTAGAGTGTTAGTGACCATGGGACCCAAGATAGTCTTGACTTACGGATGCCGGTATGAACAGTGATTCTGTCTGGTCGGTGAAGGTATGAACCAAGGTTCCTGGGCGCCAGTGAAAACGCAGTGTTGCCAAGACACAGTTCATAATGAAAAGAAGAACATTCAGTAAGAAGAAGGCTATGGCTATGCCATTTAGCCACGCAGCTTGGTACGGGACTGTCGAGGTGTGAGTTTGAAGTTTCGCATTTCATGCTCGGGATTGGTTAGCTTACGGGAATGTATTACATTTGCCATTCCTCCAGTTGCCTATGTCATGGTGAGTGTCAGATCGCGAGCATCAAGAAGTCGGCATGTCATACCATCGTCTGCTATCAGTCAGTCTAGGAATGTGAAGAGGGAGGCCAAGATTTGCAATACCATAGTGAACCATGTCCACGTATGACAGACGATCCTATCGCGAAGACCAACCCGACCATTGGGCGACCTTTTACTAGAGCCCTTCTCCATGCGCGAATCCAAATTGTCGGGAGTATGACCATTTGAATGCGGCTGGTGATCGGAGGCGGCTGGACTAGAGTCGGACGGCAGAACAGGACCATACGAAGGATGCGGAACAAATGCCGGGCGCCTCACAGGCGAACTCAGGGCAGGAGCAGAAGCTGAGGCGCCCTCAGGAGCGGCAGAGAAATAGGAAGGGCGGTTGAGCTCATCTGGAGTTTGGTAGCCGCAATCGGCTACCACGTGGGGACCGGCGGCGGCCATTTCGCAGTAGGGGAATCCCAATCGTCAGGTCCTCGGGCCAGCAGTTTCGACACAACATAGAGAGGAAAGAGTATGCTGGGCTCGGCATTGGTTAGGGCAATGTTGATGTAGACCAAGTTGGTGATGAAGACGACGTGGTCGAGGAAAAGAGAACCAAGATCGAAAAGAGGCATGCTCTCAACTGGGCGGGCGTTCGAGACGCAACTCCGCGCACCGCGCCTTGGACCGGAAAAAAACGAGCTGGTGGTGGTGGAGGAGGACGGGGGACGGCGGGAGGGGTGACGATTAGGCCGGGCCGTGGATGAGACGTGTGTGGGTGGGTGTAGTCAGATGCCGACCCGTGGTGCAGGACCGCGACCGCAGATCCTGGTCCTTTACTTGGGAGATAGAGGAGCTCTGAGTCGTCCGGTGACAGCGGCCAAGATAACCAGGCTGGGTGCTGCTCAGTTTTCTTGCGTGACCGGGTACTTTCTCGTTACTTTGGAGGCAGTTGGTTGACGGCGTTTGTTGATTGGTGGCGGTGGTCGCGTGTTTGTTGCCTCATGAGAGCAACCCGTGGAACTAGCGGTGATGGTGCGCGATGGGTTCAAGCCGAGCTGGAAAAGGTCGTCGAAATGTGGATGTATGCGCAGTAGCACACAAGTACACAGCGGGTATGCCTTGTCAAGTGTCGTCAGCGTTTCCTTGGTAAGTGACAGAAATTGATCCGCAGTGAGTAAGGCAGGCCCCAGCAAGACGTTGGAAGTGTAAAGTGGTGCCTGCGTCATTCAAACTTTTGGCAGTCCAGTTGCCCAGCTTCTGTCGTGCTCGCCGAGGAAAAACGGATGCACCATGCCGAGCCTGACACACTGGGTGGACTAGTCGCACTGTGAGTTGCCCGCCTATCAATCTCTGCTCCACTACAAAACAGTCTATCGCAGCATGTGGATCACGTACAAAGGTGTTAGCTGCCCGCCGCGGAAAAGATGCGCTAGACCAAGCGCATACGGCTATGGCCCAAGCCTGTGGCTCAACGGCTTCCGTAGGTACCAGGTAAGGTATGGTAGGCAGGCAAGGCAAGGCAGTGCGGTTGTTTTCCTGTTGGAAATGCGAACGGAATTCCCTGGATCTTAGACACTGTGCACTTTTGTCGATCATCGACATATGCTGTGTCACGGTTGCATTTTCCGCGGCCTGCCTTACTTGTGTAATGTATTCTAAAGTGATCCGAAAGGCGATAAAGTGGGAGATTCTGTTATCATGGACATTAATGAGTTCCCGGATCCTCAATCTGGAGGCCCCTATTTCCATTATGCTGGAGCGACTGCTTGTCTTGTGGGCTGGTATGTACTCTTTCTTGCTATCGTCCTCGCCGTCATTATATCCCTTATCGTTATTATTACCTATCTTGTCGTCGTCTACTACTGTCGTTCTCGATGCAAGTAACTAAGCAAAGACGGGAAATACAGCCGCGAGACACAGGAAAACCTGACGGTCTCTCATCCTGCTTGTCTTCCACGTACAAAACCGAGGTGGGATGTCCAATCACCGTGCAGAGTGGGGGTCGCTCGCACTATCCCCGCACAATTGGCGTTGACAGTCCGGGGCATCATACCCGCTGCAACTTCCCTGCTTACCTACTGCCCTCATGCCTGCTGTATCGACAAGTTGAACACCATTCGTTTGACGATGCCTGCCCTTCACTTATATTTCAAACATGGTTTCCTCAGTTATACACCTTGATCCTTTTTCTCTCCGCCATACCAAAACATCATTAAGCGTCACCGTGGCATCCAACTTTTCTTTGCGGTCCTTGTTCGAAGACTTTGCCGTGTCGGACCCACACGAGCTTCTCGCCGTTCTGGAGGATGGAAAAATAAACTTGTCGAAAGCGCCGATATGCCGGCTCCATATGTCGATACTCGAGGAAGAGCCTATTGGGGACACATCTACGCTAAGTCTTGTGAATGATGTGGCCTGCTTCATTCAGGCCTGCTCTGTAAGTACACTCCCAGCCATTTTTGAATGTCGACTAACATTTCCTTGGATTTGGGACCAGCTGGGGATTCGGCTGATTCGAGAAGTCAAACAACTTCAAGCCTCGCAATCGCCTACATTCAAGATGGAATATCGGAGCGATGTGTCTCAGAATATTGGACCCCCAGGCACCTCAATTCTCGTACTGCAACATCTTACCTGCACATTCTCTTTCCATCAGACGCACGACGCAGCAAATGGAACCGAGGGTGTCAAAGGTCCACCGCCATCCACGAGAGCTGCTTTGAATTCGACTCTTACTCGTCACAGCTTCCAGGAATCTGAAGTGCTGTCAGCGAAGTAGGAGTCCCTGCACGACACAGAAGATCTCCCAGAAACGCAAGATTCGGGCATTGGCCTTGAAGCCCTTGAAGAGTCTTCCATTTCAGCTATTGCATGCGAAGATCATGATGAGGAGCCAATACTCGCTCCTGCGGCACCGACTGCTGAGAACCTTCACTTCGATGGCGCGGATGGCCAGGGTGAAGTGACGCGGTACTTGGACGCCATTCAAGGTCTCGTAGAAGCCAGCCTATTCACCTTGATATCCGGACCAAAAGCCATGGCTGGTTTCAGAACGATTACGAAGATGACATCGCCTTCCCTCAGCCTTCTCATGCCACAGGTGCTGAACACCAAGCACTTATCAGTATGGTGTCCTATCCGAACTACGTACTGCCCACGAACATACTGACAGTCTCAGGCAATCGCTGTTCAATCACGCCTCCTACCGATTTTGACCTCGACACTCGTCGATGCGCAGCGAATTCATACCGGCTCCTCGGAAATCATAGCACCTAGTGACTCAGACGAGCTATCGTCGCGGAGCCGAGACCTTTTAGACAGTGATGTCGGAGAAGTGGCGCGCAAACTTTGGGGATTGGCAAACTCGAAAACTACTGTGCCGCCTCCTGTTCGTCAAAGACGTCGCGCAGTGCCCCAAGGATCGTTTGGCTATACGGAGGCTGTTTTCGCCGCGACAGCAGTTGAGACTTTGTTTGACGACGAAAATAACGTCGAAGATTTCATGAATGACGACTTGGATCAAACTTTCGCCATGGTTTCCGAAGAAGAGCTGCTGGCCTGGGAAGCCCCTCTGTCGCCACACCGCTATGTGGAAGGGCTTGAAACGGGGAGATTTGATTCTGACTGCGGATATCAGCTATCTGACTTCGGCGAAGACGAGAACCCAAGCCAATCTCGAAGTGAAGTCGCATCACCGAGCTGGGAAATGGAAGTTGATTTTCCAGACGGCGATCGTGAAGGTTGGGCCGACGACCTTGGAAGACCAGCTCGCTTTTACGATACAGCAGCTGATGAATGGCCAGATTTGTGGTCTGCGGACGGGCTTGATGAAGACACGGTCAGCGATTTTGGGAACATGGATGACGAAGCTGTTGAACACAGCATTTGTGGAGAGGCTTCGCCTGCTCTCTCTGACACGGAGATTGGCGAAGAGCTGGAATCAGATGGTGCTGGCAAGGAAGAATACTGGTTGATCGGTAACGATGACAGAGTTCGTCACGACTACGAAGAATTTGACTTGGACGCTGCCGAAGAGGACGACTCTCATTGCAACAACCAACGATACACGGAACTGATACCGCCATGGGAAGACGCATGGCATGGATATGAGAATAGAAGCGTGGAGGGCGAAGGGCGCGGCATGGAACTATACAGCCCGGAATCAAGGTGCGAAGATCCTGAAAACGGCTTTCTACGCGACCCATCTGCCGACGGTTCTTGGCGACATGACGCCGGGTTTGAATCTGATGAAGGCTATTCAGAGTCGGTGTTATACTCGCAACATATATGGCCGGAGGATGTCATGCTAGCGGAAGAGGAGCCGCATTTTCTCGAAAACGGGTAGCCATGATTTGAAAGCTTCAAGCGCTGTTGAACTACAGAAACTCGGTTGATATCCAAGATGAGCCTCTGGTGGATGAAAATCTATACCGAAAAAGTTATGCCGCAAGAAAATGATGTCGAGTGCAACCTGTGACATTCGAGCATCGTAAGTTCGTCCTCCACTGACCCGAACAAGGCCGGTCCCATCTGTCGAAACCCCCACCAACCTGCTCATTATTCCCACGCCATGACATCGCCTTTTCCCCCTCCGCATGCCAACGATCCTTCGCATCAGATCGCCCAGCTTCGCCAGACGCAGTCGGTGGTCGCATCCGAGATCGCGGCCGTAATCCAAACGCAAACGGATATTTGTCGGAACGATCCTGCCAACAGAGCCGTGGCTCCTCCCTGCTGAATCCAATTTTCCACCTATTTCTTGCCACCCTTGGCAGCTCCCTTCTTGGGCTCCTTCTTCTTCTTCTGTTCCGGCTTCAACGTCGCGAAGTGGATGTACCAGAGTAGGACAATCTGCAGAATGACGGCGACGAGGACGATCAAAAGGATCGTGAACAGAATGGGCTGGTCGTTCAGGACGGCCACGGCCTCAGGCGTGGCGCCAATGGATCGGAACCAGTCGAATTGACCCATCTTTGCGGTTGTGGTAGTGGCGACGGAACGGTACGGGTTGCGGATCGGTCTTGGTGATGACTCGTGATTATCGTCGCTCTTCGTGAGAGTGGTTTGCGATCGGTGTAGACCGTGGCGTAGTGAATTAAAAGGTGTGTAATCGAAAGAAAGTCAAAATGAAGGTCTGAGTCTCAAGTGCGCCAGTCACAAGGGAATAAACACCACAAAATGTACGGGTATTGCGAGGTGCGTGATTAGTGCCAGAGAGAGAGAAGGTTTTGCGAAGGACAGAAGAAGGGAAAGTAGGTACACGGGATGCAGGAAGGGGGAAATAGGGAAGCGCGGGAGGGTTCGTGGGATTGTATGGAAAGATGATCCGCTACGGGTTCTCGAAACGGGAGACGTCACATTCAGGTACAAGCTTGCACGGCTGGCCTGGAGGAGGGAAGGGAAAATGGCCCTATGGTGGTCACAGTGCCCCTTCGTAGGCTAGACCGCCCTTGGGTGGGTGAGACTGGGACGCGACAGCGTTTTGGTGGTTGAGCTTTGCCTACCAGCCCAGCCAGCCCTGCCACAAAGGAGAGGGGCCGGGCTCCGATGCGCGTTTCAGGCCTGCGGCAGAATGTCGACTGATGTCTGCCAACGCTGATTGGCTGCGCAGGGACGGACTGCAGCGGTTAGTCGGCATGGCCCTTGGGAAGGGGTCCATCGGTGCAGTGGGAATTGGGCTTGTGCTCGTGATGCTTCTTCGACTTCCGCGATGCCCCCATGCGCTTCCGGTCTGAAGAGGTTTGGTCTGATTTGCAAATACTTGCTGCCGCCAGGAACTGCGATCACCGTCTATGCCAGCATCCGTTGCCTTGTGGGAGCGAACATCACATGGCTGATCCTGAGGGTAAGGTGAGCAGATCCAAGCACCAACCTTAGGTAAGTCTGCCCCTGGAAATGAGCCAAGGAAGCCAAGAAGCGTCCTCAGTTGACCAGCACCTAAGCCTCAGCTCTTCACCCCGGACGTTTCGGTGTGGCGCCGGCCGAGTCACTCATCCACCGAGATCATGTGACTCCCGAATCCATTCAAGCCCCGGCCAACACTTTGTGCACGCACGGGCCAGGCCTCAATTGCAGCGGATGCCCCTCCAGCCAATGACATGTCGTAAATCGACCTCAGGCGATTGTACGTCCAATTGAGCTTCCAAAAAAATTATCGACCAGCCTGGCGCGCAGCACCGAGGTCGACCACGGAAGGCCAACGCACGCGATCGCACCCACCACCCCGAGCCCCGCGGCGACGACAATCGACAAACCCCTCGTGCAGCCGGCCCTGAACTGGCGCAAGAGACCCGATCGCCGCCATGAACGCCGTACGCCCGGCCCGGAGCGTCCTGTCGAGATGCACAAGTACCTCGACGACCGCCGCCCCCGCGGTCCTGCCCGCGCGCCTCTTCCACAGCTCCTCCAGCAAATCGTCTCGCAGGAGGTCGAGGTTCAGGAACATCACCGCCGAGAAAATGGGCGTCACGAGTGACCCCGAGAAACTCGACAAGTTAGTGAAGCAATACCTCCCGGCATACACCCCGGAGGAGAAGGAGATGCTCAGGAAGCAATACACCCCGGAACAGATGGAGGCCCTCGAAGCCGCGGAGGAGGCCATCGACCCGAAAGACCTCATGCTGCAGGGCCGTTTACGCACCGATCCTTACCGCCAAAACTACATTGAAGATTTCTCCAAGATCCAGCCCGTCATCGACCTAAAACCCCAGAAGCCCGTGCAGCCGCGGGAGGTGGAGTGGCTGCCGCGGCGGGAATGGGTGGACAACCACGTCGAGAAGCTGGCCAACCGCGTCGAGGTCGAGCTCAAGGACTCCATGGGCAAGGCCTACGCCCGCGCCCTGCGCAACATCAAGAAGCAGAACCCCATGGTCCTCGACTTCACCGAGGAGGAGCTGAAGGAGCTCGAGGAGAACGCGGAGCTGCGCAAGAAGTTCCTCGTCGAGGAGGACGTGGACGTCCTCGGCAAGAAGGAGTCGAGGCCGGCGGATCAGTCCCTGGGCCGCGAGTGGCTCGAGAAGATCGACGAGGAGTTCATGAAGGCGCTCGAGCAGCAGCTCAACACGGACGACGACAATATCGACATTTTGCAAGGGTCGAAACTTGATTCGTGGAAGGCCGCAGACGGCCCCGATGGCAACTCGGCGATCCAGCCCCCTCTCGGCAAGATCCCGGGCGTCAAGGGTCTGTACACGCCCGAGGACGCCGAGGACGACGAGCTCGACGGTACGGGTGAATTTACCAAGATCAAGGCCGCCACCGGCATGAAAATTGCCGACATCCAAACCATCATCACCAAGCCCCTCGTCATGCGATGGGTCCACAACCAGACCCGTCTGGGTAAGATTCGCAGCATCTCCATCATCGTCGCCGCCGGAAACGGCAATGGCAGGCTCGGACTGGGCGAGGCCAAGTCGACAGATCTCGACGTAGCAAGAACCACTGCCAAGATGCTGGCTATTCGCAACATGAAGCCGATTCGTAGGTACGAGGACCGCACCATCTACGGCGAGGTCCAGAAGAAGATCTCGGGTACTGTCGTGAAGATTCAGTCTCGTCCTCCAGGTATGTTCTCCCGCTGTCTAAAACAAATGTTCTCAGGCAACACGGCACTGACAAGCAACACCAAGGCTTCGGACTTCGTGTTTCTCACCGTATCTTCGAGATGGCTCGCCTTGCTGGTATCCATGACTTGGCCGCCAAGATCATGCGTTCCAAGAACCCCTACAACACTGTCAAGGTCGTCTACGAGTGCCTCCTTAACCAGCCCGACCCCGAGCAAATCGCCATCGGTCGCGGAAAGAAGCTGGTTGACGCAAGAAAGGTGTACTACGGCGGAAATGTATATTAATCCACCTGGATACCATTTGTATACCACTGTACCATGTCAAGCGCAACGCTAGAGATCTCCCAGAGGCCCGTTTTTACTGACATTTTTCATGTTGGGGTGACTGTTCTATGCTATGCTGCCCATGACTTGAAGGGTTGATGTTTCCCTGATACCTTACTCCGTTCCCCAGATGTGGTCCATGATACCAAAATCCGCCCGTCTAAACGCCGCGGTCAAAATCCGGACCCAGACAAAGATCAAAGCTGCCATGCCTTTTGGCGCCTCCACTTTCCTCGTCTCCGTCTCCATTGTCTCCGTCTCCATTGTCTTCATCCCCGCCGTCTCCTCCCTTCGTCTCCCTTCGGCTCCCTTCATCTTCCTTTGTCTTCCTTCGTCTCTCTCAAACCCCATTGGCTGTGACGTCTAAATCAGGGGGCACTTGCCAGCCGTGGGCGCTCGCGGAACGCTTATATGCGTCAATGGCCTCCCAAATACCATAGTCTCCACTGGAGCCTAGGAGGCGGGCGGGGAAAGGATCGAGGCTGCACATTGCCATGCGGACTTGCAACAAGACACTCTCGATACTGCTAACTGGACTCCAGCCGCTGTTAGTCAGAAGCTCCATACACAAGGCGCCGCCAGCCGTGACATGTCCACCACCTCTCTGGGAAAATGGTAGAAACTTGGGGCGGATGACGCGGACGAATGGCGGTGAAAGGGGGAATTGTCGGCCGAAGCGAACCTCAAGAACGATGCTAGAAACTTTGTGTTTCTGCATGTCCTGGGCAAGCGGAAGAGAAAGTTCAAAGCTGTGAAGCTCGACAATCCACTGAAACATATTGCTCATGCTTTCAAAGTCGATATACCAGCCAAGTTCGTGCAATGGAGTTTTCGCTTGTAGCTTTTGCAACTTGCTGAGCTCCTTGCCGAGAAGCTTGAGTCCATTGTCGGTGGCCCAAGTAGGAGGTGGGAGTATGGGGAGCGAAGCCACATCCAGGGTGCCTGGTCTGAAGCTGAGCTTGCTGGGATCGGACTCGAGAATCATGATATCCTCATCGTCGTCCTCGGTGTGCTGAGTACCATCGGTGTTCCCTTTCATGCTTAACAATAGGTCGAAATCATCAGTTGTGTCAGGGATGTTGTCATGATCATCGTCGTCCACGACGAGCGGGTTTGAAGGAGACGATCCTTCAGGTCTCGCTTTTTGACGCCACTTTGGGAGTGCTGCGATGGGAATGCGAACCTTTGCGCTGATTCCGGCGACTGTACGCTGCGGATCTTGGGTGATGTACTCCGTCTCTGTCTTGGTCGCCGATGGTGCTTCATCAGCTTCAAGCTCCGCGTACCTGAAGGAACTCTTTCTCTGGATAACCAGATATCGGCACTGGATCCAGTCGACCTTGTCAACCACGTAATATGGCTGGCTTGATTTGAACTCGGCTGGCCGGTTGATGATTTCGCAGAGGCTAAGCGCCCCGGACATTTCAAGCTCTGATCCTACCCAGAGACCTGCCAGG